GGAGAAAACATGAACGTGGTTTGTAAGTCATGATCGAGTCTCTCTCTCCCTCTCTCTCTCTCTCTCTCTCTCCCCTCCCCTTTCCTTTCTTTTTTTCTCTCCCCCCCCCTCTCTCTCTCTCTCTATCTATGTCTTTCAAAGATGAAAACTCTTATAATCGTAGGTATCTAGAGGTAGGGCGTTCACCAAACCGAACGACTCGTCGTCGTGCAAAGAGGCTTGGTGATTTGCTGCTGCAGTCGCAGCTGCGGTTTGAGCCGCATGTGCGGCCGCGGCCGCGGCATTGCTTTGTGCAGTTTGAGCAGCGTTGGCGGCTTTTTGTGCTGCTGCCTGTGTCGTCTCGAAGTCTAAACGTGCTGCTGCGAGCTGTTCGGCAATCGTTTCAGCACGTGCCTTAGCCTGGCCCACCATCGTCGTTTGCGCCGCCAATTCGGCTGCAGCCTCAGATGCAGCTTGTGTAGCATGTTCAACAGTTGCCTGAGCCGCGTTCAATGCCGTGGTAATCACCTGCACTTGGTGCATCGCCTGTTGCGCTGCATTTTTTGCTGCCGCGGCTGCCCGTTGAGCTTGTTGCAATTGTTGCTTTTCACCATCCACTGCAACATATGCATCCCTTGATTGTTGTTCTAGACCCATCACAATAATTTGTTTGCCGGCCAAAGCTGCAGCAGCTGTCGCTGCGGATTGTGCCGCCGCTTGAGCCAGAGTGTTCTTGGCTACATATGCTGCCTGTCCAGCAGCCGATGGTTGCTGATTCAATTGTGTTTTAGCCTGATCAGCAGCTCCTGCAATCAAGACACATATATATCTAAAATTTAAAAAAATTCTTTTCTTTATGTTTGTGTTTTTTTTTTATTATTATTTATTACAATTTTTATCACAACGAGAAAAAGCAAAGAATAATTGGTCAGTTGACATAAAAAAAACAAACCATATCTAACCTCTAGCTATACTGGCCAAAGGGCCACCCACACTGTACCCAGGTTGCACAAGATGACTTGAACGATGACCACTCGCAGCGACTGCTATGACGGGCGCAGCATCGACATAATGAGAATTTGATTCAATCAAGCCTAAATCGGATGAATCTGGTGAGTACCGAAATTCATAACCGTCGATCACTTCTTGATCAAGAATCTGTTTTTTGGCTTTGGCGCAATATACAAGAGTCACATAAGCCAAAAATATCAATAGAATCTTCATGTTGCAACGTTAAATTTTTATCGTGATTGATATCTGTAAAAGAACAAAAAAAAATTAAATTTACAATAATTTTTATTAATTTTTCTTTAAAAAGAATAAGTATAATATATATGATACAATTCTATTTTATTTATCATTATAGTTATTTAATGTATTTAATGTATTTAACATTGAAATCTTCTAAATTAGTTTATATAACGCAAATAAATGGATTTCGTTTTTGCAGCATATATTATTTCCTACGTAAACATTACAAGCACTTTTGTGTGGCTTTGTTTTATATTGCTTTTACGTCACATTGTTAAATTGCTTTTGTGTTACGATTACGAAAGTAGAATTGTTATTTAATCTAGTATTGCTGTAATAATAGATATACTTAAATAATTCACAAGTAATATTTTTTGCTTGCAGACTCAGCAAAACTATCTGTTAGTACTATTTTATCACACGTATATTACGAGATTGTTAACTCGATCGACCACGATATTCGAAATCAAGTTTCAATTACAAATATTATGAGACATTATATGTAAAAGAAGTCAAGAGTATCAACAGATCTAATTTAAAATCAGTCATGCGTGCGCATAGCTAAAAACCTTGATGAAAATAAAAATCAGAGCGTAAGTCAAATGGGAGAGTAACAGAAGCGTAAACAAAACTTCTAAAAGGCGAAAATTGGAACAATGAAATGTAAAAGAAGCATTTACGCTTCCTTTACATTTTGATATTTTAATTTTCGCCTCCTAAAAGTTTCATTTACGCTTCTGTTACTCTCCCATTACATCTAATTTACGCTCCAATTTTTATTTTTATCAAGGAATGTACATGAAAAAGAAAGATTGTTAAAAAAATGTCAATTTTTTGCCCCTGAAAGCAAATGAAAGCGGTATATTTTTGCAGTTTTTGAACTGCAAAATCTGATGCTGACCTTAAATAAATTTTAATTTGTTAGAAAAGTAAAAAGTTAAAATCAGTATATGAATTTATTAATGCGATCATAAAGTCATCTGTTTTACCGATTTTTCTAATGTGGAAGCATATTACAAAAGCAGGAATTAAACATTTCGGCGCTCAAAATAAAAGAAAAAATGCGTCTCTTAACAAAAAATATTTTTTTATGACATAAAATATAATAAAAAATAATATTAATTAATAATAACATATTCATATTAATTTAATATAATCATGTGTATAAAGAAGAGGAGTTATACATTATAAATATACAGATGTACATATATGTTACAATAAACAAAATATAGCTACTAAAAAATATAATTATTAAATTTATAGTATTTTTTCTGTTTTAATAGTTGCAAAATTATCAATTAATATATCAAAATCTATGTTCTTATATATATTCATTTTCAATAAAAAGAATTTTTACATTTAATTATTTTTCTTGATCTTTTTGTGATTATTTTGAATAACTTTTTATTAATTTCAATTTACTAAAATTTTTTTCACATGAAGCTACTTTATCGGAATAATTCAAAATATTCTTTCTGTTACTTCTAAGTTTGGATAAAATTTGGTTAAAAAATATATATTTGGTTAAAGAATAATCAAGAATTGATCTTAAAATATCTGGAATAGAAGATTCTATATTTGTAGCAAGTAGATCGCAAACCAAAATTTTTTTAAGGTTAGTATCAGATTCTGCAACACATGAACTAAAAAAATGTATACATTTTTACTTGCTATTCTAGAAGCAAAAATTGGCATTTTTTATAACTTTCTTTAACTTTTTTTAAACAAATTGTATATAAGTATTCAATTTTGAATTTTACATATATTTTTATTTAATAAAAGATAATTATTTCTTTAAAAGAGATTTATCTTTTCTTTCTTAAAATATAATTATACTATATCAAAATGTTTAGAAATCACAAAACACGGCGGCGCTTTTAGATACTGTATATGTTGGTCTGGTTTCATAATTGGTTTTTCTTCGTAATACTCGTTTTTTGACAATGAAAATTTCTTCCGAGTTTTGTCAACGACGTGCATGATTGCACGATAAGCTTGATTGGTTGCTTCGAATTGATTTAGACGTGAAAAAAAAGAGGACCATTCGTGACAATGATACGGTATTCAGTGTTATATAATAATTGAATGCGCCGCAAAGTGCTGAATAGATCGAGTGATCGGAGAAAGCGATACGTAAAAACCGCAAAAGTGATCGCTGAGCCAACAATTCACTTTGTAAATATGCCTTCTTAGAAATACTTTTAATATATATTTGCGGAACAAGTATTAAATTAATTTATAAATTCTAACTGTTTCTTATCATTAGTAATAGTCCTTTTAATATTAAAGATTTTACATTTATCCATGATTGTGTAATTATGTAATAGTTATCACTCGATAAGATAATATACAAAAAAATTAATTTTTTCGTCTTAATATATTTCTTTTTATGTCAAGAGATGTAATTGCATTTACTGAAATCG